TAAGCACCATACTGCACTATGTCCCAATAATCTAAGGGAACCCCAGGCTAGTAGGGATGTCCCTCAAGTAGAGATATAAAGTGAGCCCGAGCCTGAAGTAGTAGCCAACGTGATTAGTGAGAGTGAAGCCTCTAATCCGAGTGAGAATTACAGAGGTGCTGCCCTACCTACAGTCATGGCAGAGGTTGTGAATGGGCACAGGTCCGAAACAACCCGATTATTCTTTGACTCTGGAGCACAAGTATCCAAAGAAGTTGGTGGCCAAATTAAAGTTGAAGACCACCAGAAAGGTTAGTATGACATTGGGAAGGGCTATAAGTCAGGTCCCACCCAAATCTTATGACGTGCTGGATGTCACAGCCAAATTAGGTGAACATCACAGAGACATTACAGCCTTGGTGGTAGAGACATTACCCACGGCAATTACAGCGAGAGGTCTTGCTGCAGCAGCCAAGTGATTGAAAGACCTTGGCATGAGCTGGCAAACCAGGGAATTACCACTGACACAGTCAGAAATGTAGGTATCCTGGTGGGAGCCAACCAGACAGATGACTTCCTGTCTACACAACGGACCTTTAGGGAAGGAATTGGCTTATACAGATCCCAAGTAGGATACATCATGGGCTGCAGGATTCCACCTGAATTCCCTGCAACGCCACAGAGGGAAGGTGTCCCCATGATTGCTGGAGGAGTAGTGATAATGAATATCAGTATACACGATGAACTGCCAGGTAAGCTGAACCAGGTAGGGAGTGATGAACACTCAGCCACCTTGGGAAAACACTTTTATGGGGTATGTAAAGAGGGAGATAGATTGCCATTAAATAAAAGGAACCTCGTATCAGTGGGAGGAAAGGCTACCAGGGCATGTGGGCCACTGGGTGGGAAAGTACGGAGCCGCTCAGTCAACGCTAGACATACGAAAGATGTTAGAGTTAAAGGGAAGGGTGCTAAGACCACTGAAACCAACAAATCTGGACAGTTGCAGTTAGACAAGAGTCTGACTGACCACAGTGGCCAGACGACCTGTCGAACGGTGTTCAAGTCGAGGGCCCACTGGGAGGGCCTGCGGGAGGCAGACTTGATCTAGGCCCAGCACCTACCTTCGCCGGCGGGAGGATGTGGAAACTTAATCGGTCCTAAAAAGTTCCACAGGGCAGATACGTCGTACGAAGATCCCGACATGTCAGGGATGGAACGGCTCAGTTGGGGGGCCCTTACATCCACCCAAAACACACATACACCCGGGTTGGCGAAGGTGGTTGGAAGGTACATTTTAATTGATAGATTTACCCTTCAAGGAAGATGTAGGTAGTTTGTACTGTTTGTGAACTAATATTAGGACTATTGAGGCAACTATAGATAATAATAATGTATACCTAAGGCCTTAACGTAGGTAGTAATAGGCCGGCAATATAGGCAGACCCTAGGTTATGTTACCTAGGGAGAACTGGCAGCCCAAGTTTGAATGCCAAGGCACGGGGTTTTGAGACCGCAGTGCCTTCTTCTTTGTCGAAACTCTGAACGAGGCACACCGCTGTGAACATCAGGGCGGTGCCCCACATGTCTACACATACTAGGCCCTGGGGAAATCTAATGGAGACACCTCGAAGTACCGTAGATGACCTCCTCCGTCAGGCCCATACAGTAAGACAAGACAGCCCTTACTTTCTCAGTGTTCTGGCCAGTTTCTGGGGGAAATTGCGAGTGAGTTGAACTGTGGGTTTTTGTGCAGTCAGACGGCCAATGACCAGTATGTACCGTACCGGCATCTCCTCGTTGTTAAGCTTAAAAGATAGTGTCACTTCCTGCATAGTTATACTAGGGGTTACTCCCCCCCTTGGGGACAGGAAGTTCTGAGGTGCAGGCAGGTCACTAACACCGACTGAATATTGCAGGAATTAAGGCTCCCGGTTGCACGTGGTTCTGAGGGGAAGTCCAGAGGGGCTAAAGCTTAGGGAGGTTGAAGACTGGGATATATTCTCCAACACCAAGTAAGTTAGTCCTTCATTCGTGCATGCAGGCGAGATTTCTTGCAACATCAGTCATTTATGGAAATCTGTCCTATAAGCCACTTGTGAGGCTGAAGTACCAGCCTCAGGGCTCGGTGTCAACAAAGCTTGCTAAGGTAGACAACTCACATGGAGGCAGTCCAGACATATTTCCACACCTCCCTACCCCAGGTAATGCTGGGTAGCTAACCCTCCCTACCCTGGATTATCCTGGGTAGCTAACCCTTGCTACCCAGGGTTACCTTGGGTAGCTAACATTCCCTACCCCAGGTTACCCTGGGCAGCTAATGCTCCCTACCCAGGGTTATCCTAAGCAGCTAACCCTCCCTACCCTGGGTAGCTAACACTCCCTACCTCGGGTTATCCTGGGTAGCTAATACTCCCTACCCAGGGTTATCCTAGGTAGCTAACCTTCTCTACCCTGGATTATCCTGGGTGGCTAACACTCCCTACCCTGGGTTATCCTGGATAGCTAACCTTCCCTACCCCGGGTTATCCTGGATAGTTAACCTTCCCTATCCCGGGTTATCCTGGGTAGCTAACCTTCCCTACCCCGGGTTATCCTGGGTAGCTAACCTTCCCTACCCCGGGTTATCCTGGGTAGCTAACCTTCCCTACCCCGGGTTATCCTGGGTAGCTAACCTTCCCTACCCCGGGTTATCCTGGGTAGCTAACCTTCCCTACCCCAGGTTTTCCTGGGTAGCTAACCTTCCCTACCCCAGGTTATCCTGGGTAGCTAACCTTCCCTACCCCGGGTTATCCTGGGTAGCTAACCTTCCCTACCCCGGGATATCCTGGGTAGCTAACCTTCCCTACCCCAGGTTATCCTGGGTAGCTAACCTTCCCTACCCCGGGTTATCCTGGGTAGCTAACCTTCCCTACCCCGGGTTATCCTGGGTAGCTAACCCTCCCTACCCCAGGTTATCCTGGGTAGCTAACCCTCCCTACCTCGGGTTACCCTGGGTAGCTAACCTTCCCTACCCTGGGTTATCCTGGGTAACCCTCCCTACCCCGGGTTATCCTGGGTAGCTAACCTTCCCTACCCCAGGTTATCCTGGGTAGCTAACCCTCCCTACCCCGGGTTATCCTGGGTAACTAACCCTTCCTACCCCGGGTTATCCTGGGTAACTAACCCTCCCTACCCCAGGTTATCCTGGGTAACTAATCCTCCCTACCCCGGGTTATCCTGGGTAACTAACCCTCCCTACCCCGGTTATCCTGGGTAACTAACCCTCCCTACCCCAGGTTATCCTGGGTAGCTAACCCTCCCTCCCTCGGGTTATCCTGGGTAGCTAACCCTCCCTACCTCGGGTTATCCTGGGTAGCTAACCTTCCCTACCCCGGGTTATCCTGGGTAACTAACCCTCCCTACCCTGGGTTATCATTCGTAACTAACCCTCCCTACCCTGGGTTATCCTGGGTAACTAACCCTCCCTACTCCGGGTTATCCTGGGTAGCTAACCTTCCCTACCCCAGGTTATCCTGGGTAGCTAACCTTCCCTACCCCGGGTTATCCTGGGTAGCTAACCTTCCCTACCCCGGGATATCCTGGGTAGCTAACCTTCCCTACCCCAGGTTATCCTGGGTAGCTAACCTTCCCTACCCCAGGTTATCCTGGGTAGCTAACCTTCCCTACCCCGGGTTATCCTGGGTAGCTAACCTTCCCTACCCAGAGTTATCCTGGATAGTTAACCTTCCCTACCCTGGGTTATCCTGGGTAGCTAACCCTCCCTACCCCAGGTTATCCTGGGTAGCTAACCCTCCCTACCTCGGGTTACCCTGGGTAGCTAACCTTCCCTACCCTGGGTAACCCTCCCTACCCCGGGTTATCCTGGGTAGCTAACCTTCCCTACCCCAGGTTATCCTGGGTAACTAACCCTCCCTACCCCAGGTTATCCTGGGTAACTAGCCCTCCCTACCCCAGGTTATCCTGGGTAGCTAACCCTCCCTCCCTCGGGTTATCCTGGGTAGCTAACCCTCCCTACCTCGGGTTATCCTGGGTAGCTAACCTTCCCTACCCTGGGTTATCCTGGGTAACTAACCCTCCCTACCCTGGGTTATCCTGGGTAACTAACCCTCCCTACCCCAGGCTATCCTGGGTAACTAACCCTCCTTACCCTGGGTTATCCTGGGTAACTAACCCTCCCTACCCCGGGTTATCCTGGGTAACTAACCCTCCCTACCCCGGTTATCCTGGGTAACTAACCCTCCCTACCCCGGGTTATCCTGGGTAACTAACCCTCCCTACCCCAGGTTATCCTGGGTAACTAACCCTCCCTACCCCGAGTTATCCTGGGTAACTAACCCTCCCTACTCCGGGTTATCCTGGGTAGCTAACCTCCCCTACCCCAGGTTATCCTGGGTAGCTAACCTTCCCTACCCCGGGTTATCCTGGGTAACTAACGATCCCTACCCCAGGTTATCCTGGGTAACTAACCCTCCCTACCCTGGGTTATCCTGGGTAACTAACCCTCCCTACCCCAGTTATCCTGGGTAACTAACCCTCCCTACCCCAGGTTATCCTGCGTAACTAACCCTCCCTACCCCGGGTTATCCTGGGTAACTAACCCTCCCTACCCCAGGTTATCCTGGGTAACTAACCCTCCCTACCCCGGGTTATCCTGGATAGCTAATCTTCCCTACCCTGGGTTATCCTGGGTAGCTAACCTTCCCTACCCTGGGTTATCCTGGGTAACTAACCCTCCCTACCCCGGGTTATCCTGGGTAACTAACCCTCCCTACCCCGGGTTATCCTGGGTAACTAACCCTCCCTACCCCGGGTTATCCTGGGTAACTAACCTTCCCTACCCTGGGTTATCCTGGGTAACTAACCCTCCCTACCCCGGGTTATCCTGAGTAGCTAACCCTCCCTACCCCGGGTTATCCTGGGTAGCTAACCCTCTCTACCACAGGTTAAAAAAAAATCCGAATAAATCATATTACAATGATTTCAGAAGCCAACATTTTAGACAAACTTAATTAGGATACTGTGTTGAGGCGTTGCAAAGCTGCTGAGAGCCCTGGCCACCAGGCGAGGCTGTGTCCTGAGACACAGACGGGATAAAGCCAGGGTCTGCACCGCCATGATTGTTGTTGCACTACTTGTTGCTGCTGGAGTTAAGGGCCATAGCAACAGCAGCAGCAGCAGCAGCTGTCTTGAGCTCTCCCTCTCGCTGTATGGGCAAGAAATATCACCAAAATTTGGTTAATAAAAGAACATGAAACTAGGTAAACCGGGAAATCTGGAAATCATTGTTAAAACTCAGGGAGAGCCAGACACCCAAAAACCACCAGGGTTAGTGACCGGATCTTCCTTAAAACCGTATAAAAGTCCGCATCATTAAATAACACTGTCAGGGTTTATTATAGTCAGACAGGGTTTGTGACAACAAATATACTAATTTTATGCAATACGGAAGACTTTTTGATTTATAAGGCTTCTATTCGCTCATGAGCAATTTCAAATCAGTTACTCAAAAGTGCTTGCATAAGAACTAAGACGTATCAAGGAGGCCAAACCAAGGCTGGTGAGTGGCTAATTCTGGAGGTGTGCCTCAGACGTCACTGTGCGGGCACCGTGCCAAGTCCAGCACTACCACAGGCAAGACCAGTACTAACACAGTCAAGACCAGTACTACCATAGGCAAGACCAGTACTAACACAGTCAAGACCAGTACTAACACAGTCAAGACCAGTACTACCACAGGCAAGACCAGTACTAAGATAAGATAAGATAAGAGATAAGATTTTGTTCGGATTTTTAACCCCGGAGGGTTAGCCACCCAGGATAACCCAAGAAAGTCAGTGCGTCATCGAGGACTGTCTAACTTATTTCCATTGGGGTCCTTAATCTTGTCCCCCAGGATGCGACCCACACCAGTCGACTAACACCCAGGTACCTATTTGCTGCTAGGTGAACAGGACAATAGGTGTAAGGAAACGTGTCGGAATTTCCACCCGCCGGGAATCGAACCCGGGCCCTCCGTGTGTGAAGCGGGAGCTTTAGCCACCAGACCACCGTCAAGACCAGTACTAACACAGTCAAGACCAGTACTAACACAGTCAAGACCAGTACTAACACAGTCAAGACCAGTACTAACACAGTCAAGACCAGTACTAACACAGTCAAGACCAGTACTACAGAGTCACGATCAGTACTACCACAGTCAAAACCAGTACTACCACAGTCAAGGGCAGATATGGAAAATTTTCTAGAGTGTTTATCTGTATGTACCTCAACATTATATACATACAAGTAATCTCATTGGGAGACAACCATATTGTTTACCGTAGTCACCCCGTGTAGACATGTGAGAAAACTTAACCACCCCTGGTTGCGCCAAGTGGTCCCCTCGACCTCACAACCTTATCCATATCTATCCGAGACCAGTATGGATTGGATAGCACCCACAAGTACGGTGCTACTAATTAATTGTGGACTGTATAGATTATATTAGTTTAGCTGAATGAAGGGGAGGGGGGTAGGATACACCTGGATACATCCATCAAGGAAAACATTTGTACATAATCCCACCACTTACCAGATGTTCTCTGGTGGTCACTTGATGTAGCTGGATCACTCATAACCTATCTAATTACAACATAACACAACTGGCCAGCATAAGTTTGTTATAACTAGAAGGGTTACTTAACTGTGGGTGATGGATACTCCTTATTTCTTCCATTCACCATCTCATTTTCGATGTCCTGCTACACCGACACAGTTCTCATTCCGGCAGGACGAGGTATCCGTCGGTTTGTCCCGGTTTAGAAATCGTGGATCAATGAGCTTCACTTTCCTCGCCTCGGGAACAACAAGGTCTAACGTGTTCACTCGGAGCAAGGCGACTTATTTCACATCCCGCATTCTCTTAACTCAATGTTATTATCACTGATTACATTAACATTCACAAGACGATTTAACGTCTCATAATTATTATACACCTTAGAGACCACTCCATTAAGATCTGAGACCGATGAGTGATGATTAAACCAAGGGTAATTTTCCCCAGGACACAGTCCATAGTGACGCGTCAGTCACCCGGTCCTACTCTTATCACACATTTTACCACTCTATTACCGTGGTCCCGTAAATCACGTTCCCTCACTCTCCACCAGGAACAGTTACGACACTTCTTATTATGAAATGAGGCCTATATTAATCCTTAGGCCGCCGTGAATGCCAATTTCGTGGTTCCATGCTTTCCCAGCTTCCTCACCACATTCAAAACAATCCCCGCCTCTCCCCCCCGCACATCCGCGCATGCGCAAAGGGAACTCTTGGTTCTACTCTATTTTCAAATACATTTTTGACTCATATCGGCACATTAAACACCTATTAGGCGCTATAGTTTCGGAAAATTAAAAATTTTCCACAACCAGTACTACCTCAGTCAAGACCAGCACTACCACAGTCAAGACCAGTACTACCTCAGTCAAGGTCAGTACTACCTCAGTCAAGGTCAGTACTACCACAGTCAAGACCAGTACTACCTCAGTCAAGGTCAGTACTACCACAGTCAAGATCATTACTACCACAGTCAAGACCAGTACTACCACAGTCAAGATCAGTACTATCACAGTCAAGACCAGTACTACCACAGTCAAGACCAGTACTACCACAGTCAAGACCAGTACTACCACAGTCAAGACCAGTACTACCTCAGTCAAGCTCAATACTACCATAGTCAAGACAGTACTACAACAGTCAAGATCAGTACTACCTCAGTCAAGCTCAATACTACCATAGTCAAGACATTACTACCACAGTCAAGATCAGTACTACCTCAGTCAAGACCAGTACTAACACAGTCAAGACCAGTACTACCTCAGTCAAGCTCAATACTACCACAGTCAAGACAGTACTACCACAGTCAAGATCAGTACTACCTCAGTCAAGACCAGTACTAACACAGTCAAAACCAGTACTACCACAGTCAAGACCAGTACTACCTCAGTCATGGTCGAGTCCAAGCTCCTGTGTGTGTGTGTGTGTGTGTGTGTGTGTGTGTGTGTGTACTCACCTATTTGTGGTTGCAGGGGTCGAGTCATAGCTCCTGGCCCCGCCTCTTCACTGATTGCTACTAGGTCCTCTCTCTCCCTGCTCCATGAGCTTTATCATACCTCGCCTTAAAACTATGTATGGTTCCCACCTCCATTACTTCACTTTCTAGGCTATTCCACGGCTTGACTACTCTATGACTGTAGAAATACTTCCTAACATCCCTTTGATTCATCTGAGTCTTCAACTTCCAATTGTGACCTCTTGTGTCTGTGTCCCATCTCTGGAACATCCCGTCTTTGTCCACCTCGTCTATTCCGCGCAGTATTTTATATGTCGTTATCATGTCTCCCCTGACCCTCCAGGCCTCCAGTGTCGTCAGGCCGATTTCCCCTCAACCTTTCTTCATAGGACAATCCCCGTAGCTCTGGGACTAGTCTTGTTGCAAACCTTTGCACTTTCTCTAATTTCTTGACGTGCTTGACTAGGTGTGGATTCCAAACTGGTGCTGCATACTCCAGTATGGGCCTGACGTAAATGGTATACAGAGTCTTGAACGACTCATTACTGAGGTATCGGAACGCTATCCGTAGGTTTGCCAGGCGCCCGTATGCTGCAACAGTTATCTGATTGATGTGCACCTCAGGAGATATGCTCGGTGTTATACTCACCCCCAGATCTCTTTCCTTGAGTGAGGTTTGCAGACTTTGGCCATCTAAACTATATTGTGTCTGCGGTCTTCTTTGCCCTTCCCCAATCTTCATGACTTTGCATTTGGCGGGGTTAAACTCAAGGAGCCAGTTGCTGAACCAGGCTTGTAGCCTGTCCAGGTCTCTTTGTAGTCCTGCCTGATCCTCATCCGATTTGATTCTTCTCATTAACTTCACATTGTCCGCAAACAAGGACACTTCTGAGTCTATCCCTTCCGTTATGTCATTCACATATACCAAGAACAGCACAGGTCCTAGGACTGACCCCTGTGGAACCCCACTCTGACACCTCGTCACGTACCATGACTCGTTGTTGCCTCCCTATCAGGTATTCTCTGATCCATTGCAGTGCCTTTCCTGTTATGTGTGCCTGATCCTCTAGCTTTTGCACTAACCTCTTGTGAGGAACTGTGTCGAAGGCCTTCTTGCAGTCCAAAAAAAATGCAGTCGATCCACCCCTCTCTCTCTTGTCTTACTTCTGTCACCTTGTCATAAAACTTTAATAGGTTTGTGACACAGGATTTTCCCTCCCTGAAACCATGCTGGTTATCAATTATACACTTGTTCCTTTCCAGGTGCTCCACCACTCTCCTCCTGATGATCTTCTCCATGACCTTGCATACTATACACGTTAGTGATACAGGTCTGTAGTTTAGTGCCTCATGTCTGTCTCCCTTTTTAAAAATTGGGACTACATTTGCCATCTTCCATACCTCGGGGAGTTGCCCAGTTTCAAATGATGTGTTGAAGATCTTTGTTAATGGTACACACAATGTCTCTGCTCCCTCTTTAAGGACCCACAGAGAGATGTCTGGTCCCACCGCCTTTGAGGTGTCAAGTTCGCATAGCAGCTTCTTCACCTCCTCCTTGGTTATATGTACCTCATCCAGCACTTGCTGGTGCACCCCCCTGCTCTGATTTCTTGGAGTCCTACTGGTTTCCACTGTAAATACTTCTTTAAATCTTGTGTTGAGCTCCTGACATACCTCCCGGTCGTTTCTTGTGAATTCCCCATCATCCTTCCTCAGTCTGATTACCTGGTCCTTGACTGTTGTTTTCCTCCTTATGTGGCGGTACAACAGCTTCGGGTCAGTCTTGACTTTCGATGCTATGTCATTTTCGTATTGCCGCTGAGCCTCCCTTCTTATCTGTGCATATTCGTTTCTGGCTCTTCGGCTAATCTCTTTATTTTCCTGAGTTCTCCGTCTTCTGTACCTTTTCCATTCTCTAGTACACCTAGTTTTTGCCTCCCTACACCTTTGGGTGAACCAAGGACTCGTTCTGTTCTTCCCATTATTTCTGTTTCCCTTGGGAACAAACCTCTCCTCTGCCTCCTTGCAATTTGTTGCCACATAGTCCATCATTTCTTGTACTGGTTTTCCTGTCAGTTCCCTCTCCCACTGAATGTCTTGAAAGAAGTTCCTC